TTGGCTGCTGGCCCACAGTATGCTGGTCACTGCGGGTCTGCTGTTACTTCCAGTCCACAGCATGAAAAGGTTGAGAACCCCAGCCTTATACCATACTAGTTTCTCTGCAGGGCTGTTGCACTCTAAAGAGCCTCCAAATTATATTGGGCAACTGCATCTATGAAGGCTGAAAGCAAGCAAAAGGAGTCTTCAAAATGTAGGTCTTCCACAGGTACATCACCTTACCTGATCAAAGAGCTGCTTCCCCGTGGTGTTGGGCTGGATGGCAAACTCCAGCTCAGCATCCATGGTGGTAACTCGCACACTGATCTGAAGGGGAAAGAAAAAAAATAGTTACTACAAGTGTTCACTAGACCTGGCATACCAAGTCAGATCAGCAATTTGCTTATCTAGTCTACTGCTCTACTTCCCAAAGCGGCTAGCACCAGGGACTTGAGATAAGGTCCCAGAAACACCCTAAATTGGAAATTACAAGACCGCTGACTCATGCAATACTTTCTTAAACCCTATCAGTTAAATGGGGTATTTAAGCAATAGACCCTCCTGTTTCACAGCATTGAGAAATGTAACCCATCTAATCCAACTTTAAAATAGTTAAACCCTAAATAATGTCCAATGCATGGGAGTGACATAAGCCTGCAATAAGTGGAGTCGACCATAAAAGTTTCTCTTCCCTCCCCCACCAATAGTTTCATAAGTAAGCCCAGAAAGCTACACTGAGGCAAGAACTCATGCACTCTATACAATGTGTGCAACAAATCATATGAATAGCTCCAAAGCCACAGCCACGCCATACTCAAGTTCTGAAAGTACCTTAGATACCTAGGCATTTAATAAGCACCTGACAAGCCCATCTTGCAATATGAAACCATGTTCTTTGTAATTGTTATCTCTTTATAGTTATTCCCTTCAACAAGGGAAGTCACTTCGGATCTGTTACCAGTCTATTATTGCCAGTCTTAGACTACTGATAGATAATCGCAACATTAAAAAGGTACAATTTCCCCAGCAGGAATCAATTATATAGGGTTGGCCTTAAGTGGTTTATGACAATGTCTAAAACCAGATAGAGAGCTTTCTTATATTATGTACAAACCCAGCTATCGATGAAAGTTGTGACAACAGGCAGGCTTTTTTAAAATCAGAGACATGATCCAGACTTAACTACCTTTCCATTTGTGAAAACACATAGCTGACAAAATGCAAGATAACATCCCTTAACTGAATACAAACAGCTTTCATTTAGAGATGCACTGATCCATTGGTCCAATATCAGATCGGCACCGGTATAAAGAAAGTTGACTGC